CCCTGTACCTTTTGCTTCAGCTTTTCACAGCTGACTTGCAGAGCCTTTTTCTTTACTTTCATTTGTCTTCTCAGGTGCCGGTTCATCCACTTATGAAGTAGCTCTTTTCTCTTTCAAGCATTTATTTGCTGCCTTGATTCCCTCCTGCTTTTTCTTTTATTAATTCCTTCCAGTCCTGGAAATAGATGGAGGAACTGAAAGAAGGAAGCTATCACAATGAACAATTGAAGTTATAAAATGATGTGGAATATAAATAATAGTATAATGGCATGTATGATGGGCTATGTCAAAGATTCACCTAGAGCTGATCATCTTTCAAATCTTGGGAGGATGGATTGAAGTTGGTGTGTGCAAGGAGTCTTTGGAGACTAAACATAGCAACTGAATAGACTGTGAAGGGGAGACCAGAATAAGAGTGAATTTCTTAGGTGGGAAGATCAGATTCTTATAACATTTGAATGTGTTTCTTCAGTTGATGAGGCAAAAAAGACTTTGGCAGTCCCACCAAGCCTGCTGTCCCAGGCAGTCCCTTGACGGGCTGAGAGTTGTAGTTGAACCTTGGTGCTACCCTGAGAGACTAGGTGCTGCCAGTTTGTTAGAGTCACCCAGCAGAGAAGAGATGAGTCCATATTCATAATAATAAGGCTGTATTTCCTTGAGACGGTGAGCAATGATCCTCCTGGTGGTGCTATGTGAAGAAGGTCTTGTACTTACAAGTTCTTCCTCTGTTCAAGTGGCTTGTGCTCCTACCACTTCTTTGTGTCAGCTTTGTCATTTTATGAGCTGTCCTGAGAATCTGTTCAGGTTCCTGAACTAACAGAAAATTATCTCAGTCATGTTCCAGTTCCCCCTCCCCATTCCTTCCTCAGTTCCTTGGCCTGTCTATCTCCCCTTTCCCTTCCTTGCTCTAACCCCCATGCCCCCCACCCCCCGCCATGTGGGAGTATATAGGTTCTGTGGTCTCACAAGAGAAGCAAGTGAGGAAGAGTGGGGTGGTGGGAGGAAAGAATAGGTGGTGAGTCTGCTGGTTTTGGACCTGTGGCCGTAATACATTAGTTTTTACTGCTTTATGGTAGATGAATTATTTGGTAATGTTCAACACAGAAGTTGAGCAAAAGGCATGACACTACTTAATACTCTACTCATAAAACGCACGTCTAGTACTCAGGAGTCAGATACCTCATTGCTGAATGTCTGACATCTATCAACAGTAGAAATGTTAATTCTCTGAGTAAACTGATAGTTATGGCTTAGACCCAAGCCTCCCCCTTAACCGCCTCAAAATTGGTGTTTTCCCTCAATTCTTATTCAAAATAACTTTCTTAATCTTGGAAACAGATGGAGATTGGTATCAGTGCAAACCTGTAGGTGTAAGCCCTGTCCTAATGTTTTTGCATGAATGCAAGGTATTGAATGTCTTCTGGGGTGCTTTGCATGGTGGTGGAAGGTTATTTTAGACAGAAAAGTCTAGACAGTTCTTTGGATCTATTGCACATCTCTACACCTGCCAAAATTTGTGAGGGAGGTTTGTTCAAGTTACACTGCAGGTCCTCAGAAGGGTTTTCATGATATGAATAACACAAGCCAGACTAGTATCTCTCTCTCTTTCTCCCTCCGCCCAAAAATCACTGCTACTATTGTTGTCAAACTTGGGTATTGCTATTTCCATTTCCATCTTCCCTCATTCTCTAAACAATTATGTAAGTGGGAAGGATGTTATCTTTCGTGTGTGATTTTGATGTATGTGCAAGGAATAATATAGGGATTTCTCACGTGCAGTTGAGACAAATGCTTTTTAAACACACTGAGCATAAAATGAATAGATTAGACCTCAGAAGGGCTTTTCAGTGGTAATAGTTATCTTTTCCAATGTCAGAGTCTTAATCGTATTTTTATTGGAATTAGAGAAAATTGTTTTCTAGCAAATGACCTGGCAAGTAAGAAAATATCTTTCTGAGTAATGTAGACTGCTTTTTATAGTTCTTAATTTATCTAAGTTTCTCAAAAATGTCCAGACTTTGCTAATGGGCAATACCAAATCTACGTGAGGCTCTGAAGTTTACAGAGAAAATACATGGAAAGAACTGAGATGTTTGGAAGAAGATAAAAATGAGTGGTTAATTTAGATTACCAGTGACATTTGAATGCTGACCTTTAAAGCTTTGCTTAAATATTATTTAGTTTATTTTATTGAACTGATTTAGGAGTCCTTTTTTCTTCCCTTCTGCTTTTCCTCTTGGAGAAATAGGATTTTTTTTGTTTGTACATGATGAGTCATTTTCAATCATAAGAATGAAATGTTTAAACAATAGGATATAAATGTGGTTGCAATCTCAATTAAAATATTTAAGGTTTTTCCATATGTTTCTTAGTAAAAATAATAACAACACTAATGTTAGTAATCTCATCTTAAACCATTAGTGAATGCTTGCCATGAGTGTGTGGGTCTGCCTTCACTTCCTGCTTTGCATAGTTTTGGTCTCTTATTCTTAAATACATTTCTAGCTGAGCAGCTATGGCCCTGTGTTGACTGTTTTGAATTAACATTTGTGTGATTTTGTAATATTTTATTTTATAAAATACAGTCTTACGGTGTGATTAAAGGTGAAAGACATAGTTACATTTCTTGGAGGGGATATATGCATTTGTGAGGCATATGTTTTAGCATAGAATGAGGATCTAGAAAGTTGAGTCAACACACAGAAAGCATAGTAGGCAAAAGCAACACTGCATCAAAAAAACTTGAAAAGTGAAAACTTCATTGCATGCTGAATAAAGTATTTTATTTTAGGTGTTTGTGTAATTTGTAATGGAAACTGTGGTCTTACAATGGCAAATGATGGGAAACAGTGGTCCGCAAGACTGCATTAAAAATTTGGAATGCCAAATATGTGCACTGTATGTCAGCCTCTGTTGAGAATTTGTTTTGAAAAAATAAATTGTTAAACAATGAAGGCCAGATCTTTTTATTATTTTTGCTGGGAAAAGAGTTTGTATAGCCTAAGGGAGAATTTCATGCCTGTGGGAAAGAGAACACTGGGCTCAATTTTCAAAATTTATGTGGTCTTGCCAAGACAGATGGGAAGAAACAAGAGTGCACCCCAAACAACTGTAGCCCTGGGAGACTGCTCATCTTGCATGCGGGTTTTCCCATTCATAATTATGCTTAAAAATCAAGCTGTGCACACTAGTAGCTCTGCACGTGGAGGAGTCGTGCTTGTTCAGCCGGATTTTGATGTACTGCAATAATTAAGCTTGCCCAAGTCATGTAAAGGGGTGACTGTTAAGTGCCAGGGTGTCTGTCCTTACTAATTTCTGAGCAAGCATTATGAAGGCAAGTGATGTGTGTTAAGTAAGCCTGTGCCTTTGGGAGTCCAAAATCTACAGATCTGCTGTGACCAGACACTGCAAGGCAGCAGTGACTGCTTGTGCTGCGCTGAAGAAAGGAATATGTTTCATGTGACTGCTAGAACCCCCCTTGTGATTTGTCTCGAATGTTTTCTTGGCAGTGGAGTGCGCTGGGAGTGCTTGTTTTCCAGACCGCTAATGCAGCTCCGTGAGTGGAACTGAGTGCTGGTCTTCTGGCTCTCGTTTCCTTGTAGCTCAGGATGCTGTTCGTGTTTCTCATCTGCAGCATTCGACATCCTGTCTATCTCAATGGCTTCCTTTTGAGCCAGCATAGTGGATAAACATCCTTTATACAGCTAAAGGTTCAATTTTTTAAAAACTGAATGGTCAAACAATGTAGCTATTGTGGATGCTACAAAGTAGATGTTGAATGTGTAATCTGAATTTTTGCTTGGGTCAACTATTTTCTGTGAATGTGGTATATTTCTACAAAACAGATCTAACTGGACCTGTTCCTTTTGCTCTAGCTAGTATATTGAAGTGGAATAGGGCATCAAGAGCACTGCATCATCTTCAAAATGACACATCTATCCAGATTTTTTTCCCCTGATTGTTATTGCTCACAGGATCTTTAAGAACAGAGGAAATGAGTAGAATACATGAGAACACAGGATTAACACATGAAGTTTAGTTAAATAAAACAAAATGAAGACCAGAAATCGTTTCTGTAATCACTGGGGGGAAAAAAAATCACGGGATCATAGAATCGCAATTTAATGTGAGGATTTTAGAGATATTGCTGGGACAAAATACTGTTTTAAAAATTCTTCGTAGATACAAAAGTGTATTGGATTTCTTATTGGTGTGTGCCATTAATCCTCAGCAAGGGGGAGGAATGGCTGATTCAGGAAGCTGCAGCGTCTCATAAATCAAGGGACTAATGAGACTTGAGACAAACATAACTTTGATTGCTTTGCCTTTGTTCCATTTTCCTCTCATCATTTGTTTAGCCTTTTTACGTACAAGTGGATGGGGAACTGCGGGTTTTATGCTTTTGTTTGTTTGCTTGTTTAACTAGGCTTTGGGCAAGATCTGTGTTCTTGCCTTGACTTGTATTTCTTCTTGGTTTTTTTTTTTTTTTTTCTTTTGGTCAGTTGTTATTTTTTGTGGGTTTTGCTTTGGTTACCCTTCAGGGGTTTGGGTTACCCTGATAGCTTTGCCTATGCGTGCCCCTTAATAGCTTTGCCTATGCACACACCAAAGGGACGTTCTTACCAGCTGAACTTGATCCACAAGGAGTAGGTGGGTCATGCATTGACTTAGGTGACCCAAAGATCCCTGTAATCTGCATGCTCTGTTTCTATGACCCTGTGGTACAACTTCAGTTGCACTGCAAGTTTCTTATATAATTTGGCATCATGTATTGTGTGAGCTTCCAATTTGTGCCTCTCACAGCATTTTATTTTTGTTGTGTGGGGTTTATTTGGTGTGTGGTGGTTTTCTTTTTGTGGGTTCTTGGGGTTTTGTTTTTTGTGTGTGTGTGTGTGTTTTGTTTTGTTTTTTTTTTTTTCTTTTTTTTTTAAATTGGGAGAAGGGGAAGAGAAGGCAGAAATTTGTAATCACTTTCCCTTCTCTCTTTTGTGTTTTGGTAGGCCTGGATGATTGCCTGCAGCAGTATGTCCATAAATTTGAACGGGAGAAGATAAATGGTGAACAGCTGTTACAGATTTCTCACCAGGACCTTGAAGACTTGGGTATCTCACGGATTGGACACCAGGAGCTGGTTCTGGAGGCTGTGGATCTCCTGTGTGCGCTGGTTAGTTAAGTGGTGAACAGACATGCAGAGAATTTCTTGAAGTGGTCTTTTTGGGTGAATAACTAAGTCAAGTCTGATAAAACCAGAATACCTGCGTCTCTTGTTTTCTGTTACACTTCCCAGTAAAAGAAAACAGTAAGAATTTGTTTAATTCTCTGAAGTTTTGTGTTAATAGCTCTAACTTTTTCCTTGTAAGAGGTATCACTAATTTGTTTGGTTGCCCTTCGAAAGAAAGAAGTTGTCTGAGTAGCACTGTTAGATCTGGTGGCTTCTGTTAGTGAAAAGAGTGATTAAAATTGATATTGAGTAGAGTGAATTTATGATAGAAGATAGAAGGCATAGTCTTGAAATGACAGCTGCTAATCGTTCCTTACATAAATTGAAATGAGTTTAGGGTGATCTGTAGTCTAATACAAAGTGAAGAAAATGCTCTTGAAATAAAGGATGTTTTGCTAATTCCGTTATAGTTGATTTAAACTGCCATTGGATCTGGAACTTAAGTTGTTCCTCTGTCTTACTTCTGATATATAACTGCGCAGATACTTTTAAAACAAACATACTCTGAAAAGAATAAATTTTGGACTGTTTTGCTAGTGCAGGCTTTATTTAAAAGCCGTAGTTTGGACACAGTCTTGAAGCATGTGTTTGAGGTAACACAGTGAATAAGCGCCAGAGGTATATATGATTACATCAGGGAGAAGGGTTGGAAAGGCTGCCTTGATGATTCCTTGGCCAACGCTAGCCTGTCTTCTCTTCATTAGGCAAGACTTGCAGCACTAAGCATACTCTTCTTAAAATGGAGAGTCTTTGTTGCCTGTGTGATACGTCCTTTATTTGCAGAAGAGAGGTGCTACAGGGATTCTTTGTACTCCACAACCAGGAACAAATTGGATAGCCTGTACTGAAAGAAATGTGTTTAATGAAATCACTTCATACAATCTGAAAGGTTTCCCAAAGAGTTGCTCTTACATTTGAAAAACGTTTTATTTCCTTTTCGGTATTTGATCTGTCAAAAAATTTTAACATTAACTTGAAAATCTGATAGAAGAACATAATTAGCCTGAATTGCAGTTTGTGTTGTCGTGAGGGATAATCTGTCGGCCAAATGAAGGCATCTGGTGAGTTAGTAAATGTACTATATGTTGTATACAGTCCTGGCTGAAGTAATGGATGTGGCAGCCCCCTAAGGCACTTTTTTCTTCTTTTTAAAATATTAGAATAAAATGAACAAAGCTGGACAACTGCCAGAACCTAAAGCTGTGTTTTATCTCCTACGATTTCCTTCTAATTTCCTTTGTAGACAAAAGTTTTGACCTCAGACTCGTTTCTGGAAATCCTTTGTGAAATGCAGCTCAAGTTAATGCATTAGACAGAGTTCACATTGCAGCTGAAATGTCCTTGTTCCTTTTTAAGAGGTGGAGGAAGAATTCCTGTGTTTTAGGTATGCCCTTTGTCACCTTCATAATGCCCCTTCCCTTGAGTTTTTCAGATTGCTGTATAAAATCACCATTGATTTTGTTCCGAAGGGGACGGTGTGTTTTAAGTTCTAGTGACAGCCAGTTTTTTATTTTGCTGTCTCCCTCTTTTTGTGTGAGAGAATGAAGATTTCCCTATTCCACCTGTGTTAGTTCTTTGAAAGTGGGTCTGTGTATTGACATAATGTAGTGGATGTCTTTTGTGTTTGTGTATATATATATGGTGACATTTCCCTGACTTTTGGGGCCTTGAATTAAAAAGCCAGGGAACTATTTTTAGGATTTTCTTCTCTTCCTTCCCCTTTCCCTCCCCACTAAGCTTTAGCTCACACTGTGGAAATGTGACGTTGGCTGGGCCGGACTGAGGTCAGGCTTTGAAAGTTGTCATTCTTGGGGTGGCCTGAGAAGGGGTTTTGGTGGTTCTTCATTCCTGGTGTTCTCAAGAAGAATTTCCCTTTTTATCTAGCTTTGCCTTGGCAGTTTTCCAGCTGAGCTTCCTTCAGGTCAGTGCTTTGGCTCCCTCGTACCGCAAGAACACTTGCGGCTCTAAAGACGGTGAAGCAGCTACCTTTGGAACAAACATCTTTCTCCTGTAACTCTTTTCAAACATTGACTGAGCATACAGACCTTTTTTCCAGCCTCAGTAGATCAGTTGTAAAAACAGAGTGTGAAGACAGTCCTTTCCTTGAGAAAGGACACCAGCTACACCTTTTAAAAATTTTTAAAAAATTATTATTATTTTGGATTTTATAGGAATAGAGGCCTCTTTGGCAGCTATGCTGCCAAGCTGAAAATATGCCTGCAAGTTATGGTGTTTGCTGACACAGTAAGCAAACTCTAGAACCAGTATAGCTGAAAGAAATGAATGCGTGTTTCTCTGCTGCTTTGGTGATGAGGCAGTGTTCCCTCATCTCCTCATAGCAGTGGCAGCACGTGCACCAAAGCTGCAGCTGAAGAGGCAGCAGGAAGAGAGTGTGGACAGGGATAAAAAGCAAAGGTTTCTTGCGGGCACACGTTTCTGTTGCTCTTGACTGGTCTAATAGGCTTTTCTGAACAGATGTTAAAGACTTATTTAAGGAATTTAGAGGATGTATCAAAGAAACTAAATTCTCCAGAGGGGGAAAAGTATCAGCTTGAGTGCCTCCGTATTTTTGTCAATGACAGTGTTTGCTTGGGGGAGAAAAGGGATAGGAGGAAGACATTTCTTAGTTGACTGAAGTATTTGGGGGAGCGGGAAACAAACATAAATAAATATGCTTTTTAAACTCATGCGAAACCACAAAAGCAGCGGCAGGGATCCAGAGGTTAAGCTTTCTCAGCCAAATAATTTGGACAAAAAGCATCTAGAATGGTGGTGAAAACTGAATACTTACTTTTCATTCCCTGATGAGTAGACTTGCCTGTTTGTGTGTAATAAATACAAAACAATGCAAGCATTAACAGGAAACTGTATGCAAATATTTTTACTTTTAATGTGTTCCTTGGATTAGATTTCTGAATCTTTACCTATGTTGTATGATGGGAGAGTTTGGAAGAACAAAAGCAGCTGATTTTTCTTGAGGTTAGAATGAAGAAATACTAGTTTGAAGCAATCTTAAAAAAAAAAAAACAAAAAACACCACCCAACAAAAACAAACAACAACCAGAAAAAAGCTGCCAACACCAAACCACAAAGCAAAAAGAACGTAGTTTTTAGTGTTGTGCCTTTGATAATTTCACTGGTAGTAATGTTCTGCCAGCGTATTTGCAGTGCAACAGAATATAACATCACGTCATAAAATAGAACATGCATACATGAAGACTTACCCTTTATGCCTAATTCTTGTCAAGAGCACCACATCTGTGCACCACCTCATAAGATTTCAGTTTTCTAGAGGTCTCAAATTTAGTGCTGTTTATTAGGAAATCCAAAGGATTCTTTAGGATTCATTTTTGTTAAAAGAGAGAGAGCAAGAATGAGTGACTGTGACAATACATTGTGTTAACTCTAGTGTTTATATAGGCATGTAGTAAGTTGGATCAGCTTTTGAGCAGCCATTCAGTCTGTCTTTATTATTATTTTTTTTTTTCCCGAGCTGGTTTTCAGTTGGATCAGTGAGCAGATACAGCTCGTCAGACTGCAGCACATGAACATGGCTGGGAAGGGGAAGGTGATGCTACCCTGGGCTCTGGATCAGCCCAAGTCAGCTCTGACACAACTGCTGTGCTCTTTTGATTTCAGTTAGCTGCACTTTTTTCTATAATTTTATGTTGGCTGCCTAACCTTGAGCAATTATTTGGTCAGTGTACTTTTTCTCACTAAATGTAATGAAGTTTGGAAAGAGCGCGCTCTTATGCGCATGTGCTCTCTCGTGCACGTGTGCGTGCTGTCTCTCGCTCCAGCCCTGCGTGTGGCTCCCCAGGTTAATCAGTAACGAGCTGGGAATGTTTGACACAGGGTGCTCTTGACCGCTGCTCTTGACATCCTGGGCTTTGATGAAAGCAACTTTGATGTTTTAAATCGGGAGTGATAGGAAAATAGAACATGTTCTTTGGTTCATGAGCAACAGCTAAAACCTTTTGATTGCTTAAATAATAGGCTGTTAAATATTGTATCCTCAGTCCTATAGAAATATTTCAAAAAAGCCTGCTAAGCTTTGCACTTCTACTATGTGTCACTGTGAAGGCTGTTTGGTGTGCTGCCATGCTATCAGCATTCCGATCTGTCCTGAATTGGGGCTACAGCTCCATGACAAGTTAAATTAATCCAAGTCAGCTGCTGCCTCCACCCCCTCCTGTCCTCTGATTAGTGATTTGTTGTGCTTGCACTTGCCTGACTCTCAGGTGAGCTACTTGAGGGAGCTAAACCAGCTGAGAGCACACTACAGTTGAATGAATCTATTCCCTTTTTAATTTTTTAAAATGGTTTAGTTCCCCAAACCAGCCTGGCCAACAGACTGGACATTGCAAGTGAAGGAGCAGAAAAATAGCAGAAATAAGCGTGTGTGGGGGGTGGTCGGGATAGCGTCAGCTTGGATAGAAACATTGCTGTATCTGGTGAAGGGGCATAACGTTTTCTGTGCATTAGAGCAAGCAGGTGAGGAGACTGGCTTGCCCCTGGAGCAGAGGTGGTTTGGGTTGTGATGACCCTGTGTTCTGGGAAAGTTTATCCCTCAGGCCTGATCCGTAGTTGGAGGATTTGGTCACCTGTACTGAAAAGCTGTGTGCTCCCTGTTGTGCTAGGTAGGTATTGTGCTTAGCCACGATTTCTTCTGGAGCACAAACTGCTGGTTTAGATATCTTGGGTGCATTCCTTGGAGTCTCTGGGGGAAGTTGTAGGAAGGCTTAGTGCAGTGACTGGAGAGCTTGGCTGTGATGTGCTCGATAGGCTGTTGGGGAGACCAGTTGCAGCTGTAAGATGGAGCCCCTGTATCTCCAGAGGCAACACCTGTGTTGCCAAAGTCCACCTCAATTCTGAGAACTACTTGACAGTATTATTTAAAAACTGGCTGAACTGGAAAAGTCACACCGGACTGACCTGCTGTATAAAGGTGAGAGAGATGTGATAAGGAGTATGTGAACATTTTAGGGCCAAAGCCAAAATCTGACCTGGTATATCAACATGTGTCCTCTTAAATGCTGAGGCCATCTCCAATTGCAGAAAACCACAGGTGGTGGGCACAATTTCTGCACCTGAAGGACAGAAAGAAACATCTGGAGATACTTAAGTATATAAAGACTCAAGTTCTGACCAGGGTGATTAGGTGGTTATACCACCGTATAGAAACAACTCAAGTATTTTCTGTTCCTTTATGGAAGGTCAGGGGTTGACGTCCTCCAATTCCCCCGTTAAAGGAGGACACTTCTGGCACATGGCTACTTACAAATTCTTGTGGTCACAGGAACATACCCACATCCAGACCTGTTGGTGGAAAAAGTATTCCTCCAAAAATAGACTAATATGCAATGTCCTTTGAGGATGAGAAAGCTAACTGCAAGAAATGCATCTTGACGATGCTCTTGGGTTTGTTTATTTTTTTGGCGTTGTTGTTGTGGTTTTTTGTTTTGGTTTGGTTTTTTGTTTTGTTTAATTTAAAGGTGATAAATTCATAGATGGCAGCGTGCAAGGATTTTAACATTGCTTCCTGTTAACATCCCTCTCTGATCTTGGAAATTTTAAGGATATGCTTTGTTCCTGCAACAGTGGCATTTTTTTAATTGGATATATCCTCTCAACCCCTACTCCTGGCTGCACTGTAAGGGTACTTCCTTGCCAAGAGCCCTCAGGGGGACACGACGGAGGCACTTATGTAACTTACACTGGGATGTTATCCATAGGAGGTGGTAGGTATTTTAAAGGTAGCTGAAACCTCTCCTTTTGCTGGTGGGTTTATTTGGGGCAAAGATTCTGTTTCATCTTTTGTAAATGACTTAATCCAAGATATTCCAGCCTGGTTTACGGATACTTGACTGTGGAGGGAATGGAGCCACAAGCCAGCAGTGTGCCCTGGCATTACAGAAGACAGCAGCATGCTGGGCTGTATTAATGGGAGCATGTCCAGGAGAGGAAGGGAAGCGATTATCACCCTTTACTCGGCACTCATTGGTCTACATATGCCCCCTGCCCCCAAGTACAGGAAAGATGGGGACAAATCAGAGCAAGCTCAGTGGATGGTTACTCAGTTGATCAGGGCTGGAGCACTCACCAGTGAGGAGAGGCTGAGGGACTGGGGCTTCTTCAGCCTGGGGAAGAGACAGCTTCAGGGAGGCCTAACAGCAGATCCCCAGCACCTGCCGTGGTGGGGAACACTGTTGGGAGGATGACACAGCTGGGCTGTTCACGGTGGTGCATGGCGGGAGGATGGGAGGCGTTGGGCAGAAGTTGAAACGAGAGGTTCAGGCTGGGTGTGAGGAAACACTTTATCACTCTGAGGACGGTCAAAGGGTGGATCAGGTTGCCCAGTAAGGTTGTGCAGTCTCTGTCCTTGGAGGTTTTCAAGATCTGACTGGGTAAAGCCCTGAACAAGCTGATGTGAGCTCACAGCTGAGCCTGCTGTGAGCAGGAGGTTGGACTGAGACTTCCTGAGCTCCCCTCCAGCCTGGGTGATGCAGTGATCCTGAGTGGAGGCATTGGAAACCCCTGGAAACTTGGCATTGAATGGAATTAAGATTTGCTTTAGTTGCTTTAGGTTTTTGAGGGAGGAAGGAGAAAAAGTAGATAGTATGACTAAACGATGGAACTTGGAGGTTAGTAACAGAAATCTGCAGCAGCAAAAGAGTAGAGAAAGGCAGGGTTTTTGGGAAAAGCAGGATTTCTTACTCAGAGCTAAGCATTAACTTTCAGAAGGTGCCCACAGAGGTTTTGCAAGGTGAGATGACTCAAAAGCAAAGATACTCAGCAACATATTGCTACATAACTCACACATTTGCACACTGATAGCAAAAAGAAAATCTTGATTACAAAACTGAGTTGTTTCTAGAACAGATAAAGTATAGCATTTCTGGCATGTTTGGAATAAGATGATCAATGTGTTGATTAAATAATTGAGTTTTAATCTTATGGAGCATGGTTTGGTTGTATTTGAATTTATAAAGCTGAAGTTACAGACAGGATTTACAGATTATTTTTTTTTATTTCAAAAATTTCTATAAAGATGCTATTGAATGAAAAATACGATGTCTAAGAATGGTTTTAATTACTATATGTAGTGTTGATGCAGTCTTCAAACTTGCAAATAATTGCAGTGCTGTAATCAAGGAGCACAGTTACTGAAAACTTGTGATCCAAATATTTATTCCATCTTTTGACTGTGAAATTACATTTGCTTCCTGTTGATGTTTTTATCTCTTGCCAGATTAAACGTAGCTTTAGTTGTGAATGAAATGTTACTTCAGTGTTTATGTACCAAAGTATAGAAAACATTTTAAGAAAAAACAGCATTTGCTTTCCTTTAACAAAAAGAAAAACAACACAATCCTATTCGTCTGACTACATTTTAAAGGTAAATGGCATCTAATAGGACATTGGGACTTCATTCTGATGGAAAAGTGTCCTCAAATCTCATTAATGTTAGAAACTGAAGGGGTTTCATGGCACCCACAAAAGTATTCTTTAGTGGCTGCAGTGTAGAACAAATCTTAGAAGGCATTTTTGCTAAAAATACAGAAAAAAATTGGGCAAATCCTCAGACATTCCATCCCATATGAGTTTGTAACTTGTGGTATAATAAATAGGAGGACTCAACAGGGAGACTTATCCAGCTTAATAATATTCCTTGCAGAACTATGGCCTTGAAACAGACAATATGAAGAACCTGGTTCTCAAGCTGCGAGCATCATCCAACAATCTGCAAAATTACATCAGCAGCCGTAGGAAAAGTTCAAATTATGATGGAAATACCTCTCGCAAGCCCCCCAATGAATTCCTTACTTCTGTGGTAGAGCTTATTGGTGCTGCTAAAGCATTGCTTGCATGGTTGGACAGGTAAGAATAAAATCTTTATGTTTTAATTTACTGCTATAATTACTTGCTGCTTCTTGTAGGGCAATTTCTAGATGTTTGAGTGTGAAGATCATCTTGATCTCCCTCACCCCTTTTTTGGCATTGCCAGAAGACCTCTAGTGGAAAAATTTAATCTAGGGTATCTATTCTTGTGCTTCCACTCTTGCTAAAACCAGTGAAACGTAACATTACTTCCAAATTTATAGAAGTAAGAGTCTTCCCATTCAGGTCAGTTTCTCATGCACGGGACTTCTTCCCCTCCTTTTCCTGCTTTCCAAATGACTTGTCACTGGCAGATCCCTTTCTAAAAGAATTTTTAATGTTCTGCTGAAATCGTGGCCTTAGCCTCCGCATGCCTGTTTTTTTGTTTGTTTCTGGCAAGAGCCAGAATTGTTTTGTGACAGCTGCAGCGGAAGCAAACAGGGAATGGAGCCGGTCAGGTGCTGGCAGGGATGCTGTCCGCGATAACTGGTGAACGTAAATTCTCAAGCCCCTTGCCAGCTTTCCTGAGAAGGAAGGTTAGGAGGGAGGGATGCATAGGAACCAGCAGCAAGGAGCGCTTTTATCCTTCAGCATCCCTGCTCTCTAGCAAGGGCATGGTTCTGTGTCCAGGCAGTGACGTTAACAGCTTGTGCTTCTCACTTGGTCCTCTCTTCTCACCCTGTTGTTGGCAGCTCACTCTAAATTTCTTCTGCAGCTCACTGTCAGCAAGACGGCTGGTTTGTCCATTTCCAGACCTGCTGGGGTTATTTCTCAACCCTGTTTCTAGCTCTTTCAGCTGCCTGGAGGGTCTGAGGTGAGACTGTATAGGCTCTAAAGCTTCCTACCTATAATGATCCTTCTCTAAGACTGAGCCTCATCTCACCTCTGTGTGTAAAATTTGAAAATCCATTTTTCTTCTTTTCTTCTTTTAGTTGATTTTTTTTTTTCCCCCTCCCTCTCTCTCTCCAGTCTGAGTTTAGTAATCAAAGACTTGGAAGTTAGAAATCTACTTGCTGGCAAACCCAAGGATGTGATATTTACAACATAGTGTGATCTTACTCATGCATGCAGCTGAGAGAACTGTAGTTTGGAAAGCTGACTATCTCTTCTGGTTTTGCTCTCTGAACTTGCTTACCACAGGGCTGGACGTTCACTAATTTTGGTGCAAGGACAGAGCAGGACTATGCAGTCAGGAATATTTATATTGTAAAACTGTATCCACACGCTTGTGTGGATGTCAGAGATGCAGCTCTCGCTCACGTGCTATTCCTTACTGATAAAGTAGGATGGGAGAAGACTGGTGCCTTTGATCTAAGGGGAATTTTCTCTTGTTTCAGGACCCCATTTACAGGTATTGCTGATTTTTCATCAATGAAGAACAGAATCATTCAGCTGTGCTTGGATCTCACTACTACTGTTCAGAAGGTCAGCTGATTTCTTTTTCCCTTTGCTTTCCAAAGGGGAAGGAAGGGGGCGGGGGGTGTGTGTTTGAGGAAGCAATGTGCTTGCTGTATGCAGGGTGCTAATTGGAAGGTAGCTCTGGACTTAAGAGCCTACTTGAAGCTTTGAAGGTCCATGAAGGTCAGTTTCAGTTGTCCATTTTTCTGAGTTTGCCCCCCACCAATTTCCAATTTTGCTGTTGCTGGCTGTATCTTAAGTGTTTTAAAGGGTACTCATATTTTCTTGAGCTTTAATGTAAAGAGGGTTAGTTTTTTTTGAAATAGTTGGTCTGCATCTAAAGATTTTTCAAGTTCCAAACAACACATTGAAAAACAGTTGTTAGCGCTAACTCTAAGCAAAAATGTGGCTCCATTGGTTATTATACCTATGCTTGCAGACTCCTTGTGTCTTGCCCCATACAGAGTGTTTTAGCCATCATATGGGAAATGCTGTGTGTAATGGAAGGACCTACTGCCTTTACAATACAGATCCCACTAGCCAGACTTCTTCTGCCAGTAATGTGAGACCACAGTGTTTTGTTTCAAAACTGTCCATTTATCAGCTGTGTGATGAGCCCTCTTATTTGCAATAGCTAAAAGGACATGTAGCAACTGCGGCAATCTTGGCAAATGACATCATTTCGCTCTCTGAATACCCCTGCCTGTCTTCGAAACTGTTCTGACAGCGTGCCACTGCTTTGGCT